TTATTTTAATGATGATTCCAAACTACTGTACATGGGCAGGTAATAAAAGCACTGATGGCAAACAAACACTGTTTAATTAAACAGATGGCATAATGAATGCATTTAATGCAGATTCAGGCTCGCAAGAACAGGAAACTTGCAAAATCAAATAATGTTCATTACCAAAGGTGGAAAATGATTTGGTTATGATTACTACCTATTATTAACAACTCAGGTTGTCAAGTCCGATTAACAATGAACCTAAATATGTAATGTACGTAACTTAGACTTGAGCGAAGCCTCCTCTGAAAATAGATTGAGTTGGAGCGTGTAATTATGTAATTTATTAAGAATTACTGCAAAACCAACCCCAATGTTTGCAAATTTGGACATTTTACTTTCAAGGGGCATTGGAGAAGTTCAGAAAGGAAACTAATCCCAGCTTGGGACTCGAAGTTCTAAATTTTGAAGAGAGATTCAAAGAACTGAATTTGGTTTTATTGGGACGTTTTATTGGGATGTCCTCCCGACGTGAAAGGCCCTCTATAAATGTAATGTTGTTGTTCTATATTGAGGAGAAGATTCAAAGGGGGCATTATTCAGTCCAATTTTGAGAGGCAAGAATAATGTGCCCGCCAGCAGGCTATTCATTTTGGATCGTGAGCACAAAATTACAGTGCAAGACTCAAACAAGACTAGAGATTGAAACAAACACTTCCTTTTTTTTCTGCCTTCCCCTCCCCATCCGTTTTACAACCACATGATCTGAGTCATCAAATGAGTTCCCAAAAGAAGACAGATTTATCTTTTCTTATTTCTACACATCTGTTTTCTACACAAAAGGTCTACATACCAAAAATAAAATTGTCTGGTCTAAAGAGATGTCCAAAGGGTCCTGAACGAACACTGTCCATTGTGCCTGGTTCCAGGTCCACAAGGATGGCTCGAGGCACGTACTTGAGAGCTGCAAAGAGCATTCAACCAGATTATGCGTTAGTGTAACTTTGATAATTAGAACATTAATATTGTCAAGCAGTTTGGCAGCGTTGGAAAATAATTTTGCTTTCCACAAAATGTCACCCTCTCCCAGATTAGAAATCCCTGGCATGGGATCTCCACTTCAATCTCTCTTAATAATAATAATAATAATAATCCTTGCATGTGATATAGCGCTTTTCACGTCGGGAAGACGTCCCAAAGCGCTTCACAGAACACACTGTAAAGTGAATTGACTGTATATTAAGGCTCTTTTGTAAGAATCCTGAGGCAACTGCTTCAATTTTTGGAAAGTACCAAAAAGTATATTGAACTCAGCCAATTGTTAAGGCAGACTGCATCCTCGTATCTTATGTTCCTGGAAGCACGAATGCCAAACTTTCAATTTTATGCTTTTAACTTTGAGACAAAGAGACACAATAATTTTAATTCTCTGTAACCATGATTCAGTAAATTTTCAGCAATAATATCAGTTGGTGTTTGTTCTACCAATAATGAAGCTTAATATCGATTTTATAAGAATTAAAGAAAAACAGATATTTAATAGATAATGTGCTGTATGCACTATGATGCTAACTTCTTCCTTGCTTACATGTATTATCAGCTGTGTAGTTTTATAGTCATATAATCAGATTAATATTTCATGCACTTCATCTTTTAGCATCTATTTAGCTCAGTGGGGAACATAACCAGTTTTGTGTATGCCAAATGCAAGGATTTATTATTAGTATTTTCCATATACTAGAGAAATTTGGTCTGCTGCTTCGTCACACTAATTATCCAATAAACACAGTACAAGGCTTATGGCTTTTCCATTTAATGTATTCATTCAGATTTCTGGTTCTACATTAACATCCGATGCTGAATACAGTCTCCATTTAGGTTAGACTTTTCTGCATTACTTACAAGATGCTTCATTGTAATAGACGCTAATTCTCTCCAACTGCAGTTCTGAGTCACCCACATAATTCCCGCTGGGGTCGATTCCATGTTCGTCGCTGATCACCTCCCAAAACTAACAGAAGAAAGAAGATCAGGAAACGCATGATGTACAACATGGCAGCGAGATTCATTCTTGTTAATCTAAATGCTGCTGCTATTTATGAGTGAGCAGGGGAAATGATTCTGCCATCAATGATTTTCAAACACAGATTAGATAGTTTTCTTTTAGGAAATAACATTATGGAATATAGTACATAGGTAGTTTGGAAGAGATGTGCATGTGACCACCATGGATGTGGAAGACGAACTAGATGGACCTTGGTCTTTTTTCATCTTGCATTTCTTTTGCTTTTATAATGCATAAATTGCAAAGTGTATGTTAATCATTGTAATGTGGTGAAGGGGAATGATAAATGACAGGTGATTCTATAGATGCAATCAGCACTACACAATGTCATTGTCACTCAAAAGGCTGTGATTATAGCTTATCTTTTAGCGTATAGACTTCTCTATTTTATATAAACACTTTTATTTCTGATCTCAATTAATAATCAATGTAATACATTTGAATGCAATCTGAATATTAAAATGGATTTACTGATTTGGGATCCACAAACAAAGAAAGCTAGTGTCTAAGCACAGTTTCCAAATTTGGTTTTGCAGATTAAACAATGAAGCTGTTTTTGGTCTCTGTGGGGGTGATGATCTGAAGAGGCTGTCTACCTTCTGAAAGGCAGTAATTAACATATAGGCAGAAACAGCAGGGTCACTGACAGCTACTTATAGCTAATTACAGCTCAGTTCACAGCACGACTCCTGCCTTGTGCACAAAATAATCGAAAAGATTATTTTTTTCTTTAAAATCAATCACACTGATTACACCTAATCTGAAAATGGAAGGCATAACAGAGAAATCAATCCCTTGATCAGTGTTCTTTGTAAGCTTTCTTGCACGCTGTATATATTTTCTAAATATAATCTGTCTCAAAAGGTCATTAGCAAAGACTGATTTGAAAAAGACGAGTTGACAATGGAACTTTTTTTTTACTCCCTGCACTACTTTAAATACATTTTAAAATTAGCGTAATTTCAATATGAAGGCAAATGTAATACAACTGAAATTACCAGACATTTGACCAGCAAGTTAACAGAAGCAATTGATAAATCGGTATTGGCCAGCACAAAACATTTTCACTGTATATTTAAATTTAATGAGGAATTAGATTTTAAAAGGAATTAAGAATTAGATTTAAATCGCGTGCCCTGTAGATAGACACCGACAATAATTTTCAAAATGATTCTACAAAGAGTAATAGTGTAAAAGTCCTCTTAGAACAATAATCACTTAAAAATCACACAAGATGTTCCATGACCAAGATTTCTGGGATTTTCACTAATATAGCTTTGTGTGTGTGTGTGAAACGAGATTTTCTGTCCATCAAATAAACAATTTGGGTGTAAGCACTGAATATTGGACTGGATCTCAGCACAGCACTGGGTACACAGCAATCTGTAACAATGTGTTTTTTTACTGATTTGTTTTAAAAAAGGGAGCATTTATTATGGTGGTTTGGTCTTGCAATGGTTATTATACAGCACCACATTTCCTTCAGCTGCTGACCAGGGTGCTGAAAATATCAATATCATCCGACCGAGGAGGCTTTATCCCTGAGGTGTTTGGTCTGAGGGTGTTTTAGTGCGTGTGATTTGTTTATTCTGCCTTTGGTGGGCAGTTAATATCACATTCGAGGAATGCACAGCTGTCTAAATAAGTCTGATTTTGCCCCCATTTCATCTCCATGTTGATGAGCTCACCCAGTTTCTGACACTAGTCAGGACACTGCGTGCAGCTGCCAAGGGCAGCACTGATTTGAGTTCTTGTTCTGTTGGCCTCTGGGGAGAGAATTGGATCCAATCCAACACCGCGGTCCCTCCCAATCCCATTCTCAGCTCAGACCCAGCTGCCCAGACTGCTAATGGATTCCAACCTAAACGTCGGTTAAAGGGGCAGCAGATGCATCTTTTGAAATAATTTTTTTACTTAATAAAATGCTGTGTTTTTTTTAAAAAAGAAAATACACATAAGCTTGATTGGTGTTCGTGGGTTGGCGGGGAGGTTGTTTTTAATGCAATGGATTAGTACGTTGTCTTTTCATTTCTTTTGGAATAGGTCAAATCTACCCCAGACTGCTGGGAGGAGATGATCGGCTCTCTGCTAACTGTAAAAGTCAGTGCATTACAATGAATGTATGCAGTTTCAATACTGTTCTTAAATGAGAATGGCCAACAGCAGAACAAAGCAATTTGATTCAAATTGAAAAATTAGCCACAGTAAATACCAAACGTGTGCCCATTGACCAGAAGGTCATGATTTGAAATCCTGCACCTGCTTGTCACCTCAATCTGCCTGCCTCAGTTTTGTGAATATTTAATGCTCAGATGGGTTGGTAGATGCAACGTCATGAAGATCTTCTTTGACGAAAAAAGAGGAAATCTGGTAACACACAATTCACCCACCCTTAGTAGTACCTCCTACCATTTAAACATTTAGTACTATTAGTGGCTATGAATTTCCTGTCCTAGTGATCGATGAAAATCTGGATAAAAAAATGTATGTTAAGTTCTGGCTATTGAAGCAGTCACAAATGATGTATGCACTGATGTGCCCCAGAACATAATTGTATTTTTGCAAATGAGATCATTGCAGTTCTGCATTTACGATCCAGATGAGATCACGCACCCTCCACCACACACACACACCCAACAACCGACACATAAATTTGGTTATTCCCTATCCTTAAGTTTGGTTTGCCTGTGAATACTGCAGCAAACTCAAACTGACTGTTGTCCAATCTGAAATACTGAAACCGGCTGTTCTCTGGACAGCGCTATAATGATAGACTTTTTGTAAAAGAGCCTACAGTTTGGTACCGCCGTTTGAAGGTTAGCTCCAAAATTATGCGAGTCTCAGATTTATTCACGAAAAAAATGATTTCTCTAATTCTTTGGTTTGCACGTTCAATAAAATATGTCACACTTCAAACACAAAGTGAGGAGGGAATACTGCCTTTTTGTGAAGACATAACAGTGTTCTTGTCAAATACGTGGTGACACATTGCCGGATAATAAGGTGTCTGTGTTGTTGGCTAAAGCAGCAACTGGAAGGGTGTGGCAGGCATTCGTTTTTGAGATTTTTTTTTCTCTAAATCACGTTTGAAACACAAGTCTGTCTTTGCTCCCTGGAGATCAGTAGGATACCATAGCCAATTTTCTTGGCCACCAAAATCAATAGGCGCAGCCAGCCCACTGGTTTACCGTAATATGTGCATCCAATTTCTCTGGTCACTGAACAATTTGCCCCACCCAATGCTTTATGATTTAGATGATTACATTTTGAGATGGTGCAGGTCTGAATATATATTTCACTCCCTCCCACTTCCCCCCTAAAAACAGCTGTTCTTTGTCAGACCCAACACAATGACCCGTCGCCTGGCAGTGAGTCTTTGTGTCTCGATTTAACAAAGGCACCGAGTGTGGTCGCCTCAAAGACAGTAATGTCCATGTTTAACCCTTAAATTTTGTGGTGATGTGGATGGTGAAAAAGCCACTTGAATGCATCCATTCAGTGCTCCCAGCCATGTGATTCACTCTGATGAACATCTATCTCTGGGTCTCATTCAGAAGGTAACCTGAAGGCAACGGTAAAAAGATGCGACATAATAAACTGATGACGGCTGTGAGAGAAACAAGGGTAAAACGCAATCAGGTTTATCCATCATTGAATGCAATGCAAATAGTCTTGTCCCAGCCCTAACAGCATCTACAAAACAGTCAAAATGTGAGGAAGTCATCTTTGTCCTGTGGTGCTTCATCTTTGATTGAAGCAGCTTTGTCTTTGGACAGTTTTCTTTTGCTATTATACTGCAGAAAATTCATCGCACTTGTAGGAAATCAACAATTTTTAAAAAAAAATAGATAATAAATGCCATAGGGGATTCACCGGTACTGGATCATTCTATCACGAAAACGAAACTTCTATCCAATTTCTCAAATTAAATCTGATTGGATTCACATAATCGTCGTTATCAAATCGAGCAAAATTAACCGAACAGGACCACATCAGTAACACCCCCTGGTATTAACTGATGCTCAGTGTATCACGGTTCGCCCTGACATCTCTTTGATAGCTTGGACGCATGAAACCGCTGCATTCGGAGTCGAGTGGAGTAGAGTGCGCGGACCTTCGCAGACGACTGCGGGTGAAGCGTTTCGATCCGATGACGCGTAATCACCAAGGATCGGAAAACGTACAAAAATGCGACCCACCGTCGTAGGTGGATGAGAGATGGGAAAACGGGGAGGAGGTCAATGGTCCTTACATGAGTTGGATTTTAACTCAGAAAAAGTGGGGTGGGGGTGGGGGGTGGGGGGTGGGGGGGGGGGGGTTCCTTTGTTTCAGATCTGGGCTCCACCCCAATGTGATTTGAATGCAATGAGATGTCCAGGAGCCTCTCAGTGATGCTGCGTTTTTGCACTGTGCAGCACAGCAGTGCTACTCCATGTCTCTCTCTTCTTCTCCCCCCACCCATCCCCACCCCACCCACCCCCACCCCACTCCACCCCCCCACCCCCACCCCCAGCAACATATCTGCAGTGTCGGGCGTGGCTGTGTCTCTGCAGAACCTGCGTCTGTGTAAATCAGCCCCAGAGAGAGAGAGAGAGAGACAGAGAGACACACACACACACACACACACACGTTAACAACCCGAACGCCTTTGATCGCTCACAATCCTCAGGACTGAAAACACACGTCGTTGCGATGCACTTCCCGACACATCTTTTTACAAAGAGAGAGAGAGAGAGAGAGAGGCGTCGGGTGGGGGTGGGGGGGGGTGGGGGGTGGGGGGGGGGGACCGCGCACATTCGGTGACAAAAACGCAGCCCCATCCGCAACGGGGGAGCAGTTGCATAAGAACGCGCGGCACCGCCCGCACTCGTCTGAGCTTCATCTTCACATTCAAAAGGGCTAAAAAAATATATATATATATATGTGGATATGGATACATATATATTTGATTTAAAAAAAAAATCAATGGATGGACGTTTCTCAGCTTCAACTTCGCTTCTGCGTTACCCGTTACCTGCATTGGGGGACCAGATGGGGTCGCGTTAGCATCACAGTCCTCCCGACAAATACCACCACCACCACCACCACCACCACTACTACTACTACTACTACTAATAATAATAAAAAAGGGAAGGTTCGAGGTGTGAGGGCGGGTTACCTTGGCACCGATCTGGTTGCCGCACTGACCCGCTTGGATGTGGACGATCTCTCTCATTTTCGGGACTCTTTGTCGTTGCCTTTGTAGCTGCGCTGCCACTGACCGGGAGGGGTGTGGGAGCACTGTGCGGTGGAGCAACTCGCGGTGGGGGTGTGTGTGTGTGTGTGTGGGTGTGGGTGTGGGTGAGGATGGGGTGGGGGGGGGTCTCGGCTTTTTTTGGATGGAGAAGGCGGCGTGAAGGGTCTCTCCTCTCTCTCCTCTCTCCCTCCTCTCCTCTCTCTCTCCGCTCTCTCTCTCTCTCTCTCTCTGGGATTTTTATAGCTTTTGCGGAGTATCAGCTGATCCGCAAACCCCGGGCGGGTTGATTCTCAGACAGGGATTGCGTCAGTCTCCCGAGAGATAACGCTCAGCGACCAATAGACGTGCAACGGTGGTGGTGGGGGGGTGGTGGGGGGGGGCAATGCGACATCTCCCTGCAGAGCAGGGATGGGGAGAGAGAGAGAGAGAGAGAGAGGGGGGAAAAAAAAAGAGAAGCAACGACATTGCTGCAGCTACAGAGCTGGTAAAATGCTCCCCATCCCCAGACGTGCAACGGTGGTGGTGGGGGGTAGTGGGGGGGTAGTGGTGGGGGGGGGGCAATGCGACATCTCCCTGCAGAGCAGGGATGGAGAGATGGAGAGAGAGAGAGAGAGGGGGGAAAAAAAGAGAAGCAACGACATTGCTGCAGCTACAGAGCTGGTAAAATGCTCCCCATCCCCAGACGTGCAACGGTGGTGGTGGGGGGTAGTGGGGGGGTAGTGGTGGGGGGGGGGGCAATGCGACATCTCCCTACAGAGCAGGGATGGAGAGATGGAGAGAGAGGGAGAGATGGAGAGAGAGGGGGAAAAAAAAGAGAAGCAACGACATTGCTGCAGCTACAGAGCTGGTAAAATGCTCCCCATCCCCAGTTTGGGTTAGGAATAAACATTGCACAATACTCATGGACCATTCCCTCAAACTGGATTTTTTTTCTTTTTTTTTGTTGCATTTAGGTCATGGCCATTGCACACACTCTCTCTCTCTCTCTCTCTCACACACACACACTCACACACACACACACACACACACACAAACACACACACAAAAAATATATTGACCACAGTTCGATGTGACCATGTCCAATTGCCGGTCAACACAGTGTTATTTCTGTGAGCATTTGCACAGACATCATCAACCTTCTTTGCTAAATAAAATAAAATCGTCGTCAGCAATCTTTTGCTCAAGGCGGACATGTCTTGCATTATATCAGGGAACCGTTAAAGCACTCCTGGAAGCAATCTTCCACCGGAGGTAAAATGGACATCCTATTTGATCTCATCCTTCCAGAACATCCCCGCCCTATCCTCTTCATGTTGCAGCAGCAAACAGGCTTTTCATTCTTAACCCTTAACTGTTCCAGCTGCGCATTACCCTCTTGTGCCAAGAAATACTTCTCAGTGTCTGTCCTAAAATTGCCCTTCACCACTGTCACCATCTGCCCTCCAGTCCCCCCCCCCCTCCCCCATCCCCCTCCCCTGCCCTGTTTGAAGGAATTGTTCTGAGTTTTACTTCTCAAATCTCATGTTTGAATAAGTCATTGGCAATTCAGACACAAAAACCTTCTTTGCTCAATGAGGCTTTGGTCATCAGCATCACCGCAGCTGGCAAGCAATGTGCAAAGCTGCCCAGTAATAGCATGTTACCGCAGAAAGCCTCGGAACAATTACATCATGAAAGACCATGAAATAAGATTGAATAATTATTTTGTTACAATCTGCATTGCCTGAAGGTAAAGGGCTTAATGGTACATGGTTCAGACAACAAAATGGCAAACTCCCCTCCCCTTGTATTTGTTCGCCAATGGGCAACATGCGCACACAAATTCTCTCAAAATGTGTCATTATATTAATGTCATGCAACATTATGCATAGTATCTTCAGCTCCGACCCCTTCCTCCCCCATCCCATAATGAGGCGTGGCAAACCTTTTCATGAAACAAAGCCTTTAAGCTAGTGGGGATTGTTGGCTAATAACAAAAGTTGCCTTATTTTTTTAGTAAAATGTATTATCTACCGCAAGTTATAAGGTTTCATTTTTAAAATGAAATGTTAAATATAAAATGACTTTGTGCCGATTGTGCAAACTATGTTTTACAGTGAAAAACCTGATATCTGGACTCATAGGTATCAAATCGATTGCGATTGTGAAAGCTACGCAGGTATCCGTTCACCTCCTTGAAATACAGTAATGCACGTGTCACACTTTGTGGTTTAGTCATTGTAGATAAATTATACATTAACCTTCAATAAGGAGTCCCGACCCAACTGTCCAGCGCCTTGGGACGTCCTCCCGACGTGAAAGGCACTCTAAAAATGAAATCTTGTTGTTGTTATTGTTGTTGTTCATGTGCAGCTTCTGTAGATTCTCAAGGATGGGAAATGGGAATTGTTCTTGGGAGATAATAATTGTAATCTTTACATCTGACCTAGCGCCTTTCACGACAGGAGATGGCTCAAAATCCTTCACAGTGTAGTGCAGTGACTGTGTATTTTGCAGGCAAATACAAAAGCCAATTTGCACACAGCAATGTCTCACAAGCAAACATGAAATGTATAGCCAATTTTATTTGGGATTGTTGCCCAGAATAAACGGAGAAACTCCCTTTTCTTTTGGAGTAGTGTCATGGGATTTTTAAGGTCTACCAGAGCAGATGGTTTCACTTCTGCAAAGGACCACACCTCCAGCAATGCAATGCACACCCAGCACTGCATTGGAGTGTGAGCCTAAATTGTGTGAGTTCAAAGTCCCCACATGGGGTTAGAACCAACAACCTTCTGCTTCAGAGGTGAGAGTATCTCCAACTGAGCCAGGCTGGCATCCAAATAAAGAAAGTGAGAGAGCAAGATAACAAAAAAAATCAAGATTTATATACAGTGTTATTAACTCCAAGTATGTGCAGTAAACAGATTTGGTCTCCAAATGTATTTGAGATTACCTGATTCGATCAATTTGAATACTAAACCCTCCTGTTTGTGATCAATGTGATGGTATTTAAGATTGCCAATACAGTCTATGTGAACACTGATAGGCTACAAAAGAACAGAAAGACAGCTACCATCATAAAGGCCATTTACATTTATTGTTGTTTTAGTTTAACTCGTTCCCCTCTCTCTTCCACCAGCAAACCTCTCCTGGTTTAGTGTGGTCAGAGTAAACAGAGTCAGAGACAACAGTGCAGGAAACAACATTAGATTATGCCTCCACCACATTTGGAATAACATTGCCATTCCTATAATCATTACTGCAAAACACGATTAAAGATAATAAACCCAAATCCAAGCTTCAGTTTCAGAGACAATTGGAATCAGAAAATCTGATATTTGGATTGTATTACTCTGAGGGCTCCAATAGCTCAGCTCGGCTCCATCTGTCAGCCCTGTAATATGTATCTTCCTATTATTTGAGTGAAAACTGCACTTAAAGAAAACAGAATATTGCTGTCCCCGCAGATCTGATTTTTGTAAATGGTATTTTGATTTGAGTAAGTAATATTGCCGATTGATTTCTGGCTTTCAGTAAAAGCAAAGAAATATCAGGAATGTGTTTTCCAAAGACCTTCTGGAGGGCAAATCTAATGTGGTCACTGACTCAAATAACAGTAAGTGCAGGCGAAACAATGAGCTCTAAATTGTGGGAATTGCAAAAGGATTTGGGGGGTAAATCTTGGAAGAGCTGCAGCTTGAAAAAAAATGGCCAGTCTATAATATTAGTTGCCTCCCACATAAGCTTGCCTCCGGAGATTGATTAGTAATATAAAAATGGTATTGCACCCCAATCTAAACAGAAGACAAAGGAAGACTGAATGGGCTGTGCCCTTTTGATCGTTTGCAGGACAGAAATCTTCACATGTTCCAAAACACTGACTGTCCGGCACCTTGGGATGTCCTCCCGATGCAAAAGGCACTATACAAATGTAATTTTGCTACAGAAAATGCTGGACTTCCTCGAGTTCAAAATCGAGGGAATCCGCTCAGCTGCCACTGTCCTCCCAACTTCCAACCCCTCCCTACCTCCACCCCATACAATTACCCATCCGACAACTACCCATCCCTCCTTCCACACCTTTGAACCTGTCAATCCCTCCTCTGTCTTCAACACAGTAACCTCCATGAAGTCTACCACCTGCTCCCTCGACCCCATCCCTACCCCTCTCCTTAAATCCCAGCTCCACCTCCCTGGCCTACTACTCGCTGACATCATTAACCTCTCCCTGTCATCTGGCACTGTTCCTGCCCCCAAAAAACAGCCACTATCACCCCCACCTTGAAGAAACCTTCTCTCGACCCATCACAGCTATCCAGCTACCGGCCCATCTCAAATCTTCCCTTCCTATCCAGGGTCCTTGAGCGAGCCATTGCCTCCCAGCTTCGCTCTTTCCTCTCCTCTCACTCCCTCCAAGGGCCCCTCCAATCGGGTTTCTGTGCTGCCCAAGGTCAATGTCACAAACGACATCCTGACCATGTGTGACCAGGGCTCTCTCTCCCTCCTCGTCCTCCTCAACCTCTCCACCGCTTTTGATACCGTGGACCACTCAATCCTCCTCCACCGCCTCTCCTCACACCTCAACCTCCAAGGTTCTGTCCTTGACTGGTACAGGTCCTACCTTTCACCCCGCACTGGCTCATGCGGTGTTCCTCAGGGCTCTGTCCTCGGTCCCCTCCTCTTCACCCTCTACATGCTCCCCCTTGGTGACGTCAACCGCAGACATGGGGGAAATTTCCACATGTATGCGGATGACACCCAACTCTATCTCTCTGCCTCCACCCTGAACTCCAGGACTATTGGATCACGTCAGCGCCTCCGCACCTCGGGCACTGGCAGCATCAGCCTCCACGGCTGCACACTCAACCTCACTAAGCCAGTCAGGAACCTGGGTGTCTTGTTTGACCCTGAACTGTCCTTTCTCTCCCACATCCGCGCCATGAGCGGCACTGCCTACCACCACCTCCACAATATTGTCAGACTCCGCCACTGCCTCACCCCTCAGGCTGCCAAAACCCTCACCCACGCATTCGTCACCTCAAGGCTTGATTACAGGAACTTCCTCCTCATCGGCCTTCCCAACTCTTCCCTTCACAAGCTGCAGATCATCCAAAACTCTGCAGCTCGTGTACTCTCACACACCAGGCTCCGTGACCCCATCACCCCCACCCACACCCGACTCCACTGGCTCCCCATCCCCCAGAGGATCGAGTTCAAG